CGCCGCGTGGGTTTTGCAGACCAAGTGGCGGTCGGGCGGGCGGGGTGCTTGCAAGAGCGTGGGAGTTGACGACTCGCTGCGAACGGAAATTCAGCGCCACGTAGATTGCACCGCAAAGACTGCATGGCACAGGTTGCATCGCATACATTGCACCGCGTAGATTGCTTTACCTAGGCTGCATCGCACAAGCTCTCCTTTCTTAAAAAGGAGTAGATTCTACCCCCCCCCCCTGGATTATCCGCGCCCCTTCTCGCGATATAATTTGCGAGTGATTCTGCCCCACCACCCATCCTAAATATGAATTAATGCCATCACAGGGGGGCCTGTGTCGACCCTCCCCGTCACCCTTTGCAAAACCAAACTGCGCGCGCACTCGTTTATCAAAAGCCGACAACGTTCAAAAGCACCCTGCAAAATAATGCAAAGAAGTGCGCACCTGCGCGTCGTCGAGCGAGCATGTCGCAATCCTCTGGAAAAAAACAGCAGATACAAAACGCATAGTTTCGCAACAACTTCTTTCATACATATACACAACAAAAACATGCGCGCGCTCTTGCGAACAGTTTGGCCACGCAACATTTTGTCTTGACGCGTCCAGAACGCATGCCACCAAGCGGGCTTCGCGCCCGCGCGCCTGTCAAAATCGTTCGAACGCCCTTGCGCGCGCGCTGTCGCGAGAACCCTTTACACTGCACGGGGCGATGTGCACGCGCGCGCGTCGTCGCGCGCGCATGCAACATATTTCAAAGACCTGAAGTTTCGCAGCGATTTCAAAATCAAGCGTTGCGACACCATATAAACACATATGGTTTCGCAGCGTCAGTCTTCAAAAAAGCGTGCGGTCGTGCTCTTGCGAAGTCTCACCATAAAAACCTACCGTTGTCGAACGGGCCTCTCGCGCCGCATTCCGAAACCATTCGCGCGCCCTTGCGCGCATGCTGGGGGGGGGGGGGGGGCGCGATCCGTATCCAATAATGCAATGAAATCCACTCTCGCGCGTCGGCCGCGCGCGTATGTCGAACCTCTTTCAAAACCCTCATCACCGACGCGAGGCCGCCGTCGTCGCCGGCGTGATCTGCATCGGCGCTGTCGCTGGCCGCGCCGACGTCGCTGCCAAGATCGCCACCAACATCGCTACTATCATCATGTCTACCGTTGTCGACGCTGTCATGATGCCGCGCCCACCTAGGCCGCCGACGCGCACTGGAGTGCCCGCTGGGATGTGACCAGTGGTCAGCGCCAACGCGGCCGCGTCGGTCGGACCAAACGAGCTTGCCGCTGCTCGCGCGCCAATGCGCTGGCTGGCGCGGCCGCAGAGCTGCACCAGCTAACGCTAAGCATGCATCGCAATCGACGCCGCATGGGTTTTGCACACCAGGTCGCGGGTGGATGGGTGGGATGTTTGAAAAGCACGGAATGTGACAAACTAGTTTCGCAAAGAATCAAATGCACCACTTCGCAAACACTTTATAGGGTGCAATGGCCTACAATTTGGGGTCCACGCTGGCTCATATATATATATACATATATATATATATATATATATGTATTCCCATGTGTACACTACATACACGCAACTCTATAAATGTAGAAAGAGATGGTGCGGGAGAAAAGCTGCTCATCAAAATCTGTGTCGGTCTATGGGGGGCAGGAGGCTATTGGGCTACAGAGTGATCGGGGCTATGGGGCTATAGGGCTACAGAACTATAGGGCTATGGGCTTATAGGGTTTCGGGCTATAGGACCATAGGGCTCTAGGGCTATGAGTATAGAGGGCAATGGGGCTATAGGGCTATATGGCTATAGGGATATAGGGCTATGGGGCATAAGGCTACAGGCGTGTCGATATATGGGGCTATGGGGCTATAGTGCTATAGGGCTATAGGGCTGTAGGGATTCATGGCTGTAGGGCTATAGGGCTGTGGGGCTAGTGGGCTTTAGGGCTATGGGGCTGTAGGGCCATGTGGCTATAGGGCTGCTGGGCTATGGGGCTCTAGGGCTGTAAGGCTATAAGGCGATGGGGCCACAGGGCTATGGGGCTATTGGCACCTGGGCACCCGGGCGGCGGGCCACGGAAATCGGAGGCAAAGCTCACCTAATATGAATCCGCTAGGACCCCCACAAAGGCAAGCTCTGGTTGGGGAATGAATGTATATGTGTAATTTTACAAACGCACACACACACATATCGGAAGTTGGGGGTGAGATCGAAGTGGAACGGAGAGCCCCCCTACCGGGAAATCGATTTCGGTTTCGTGTTCGTGCGTGCCGTGCGTGCGGGCGAGGCGAAGCTGCGTGGGCGGGCGAGAGGAAAGTCTCCTGTGGCTAAGGCGCGGCGGGACCAAATGATTCTCCACCGGGGCGCGGGGCCGCGCGGTGTCCCGCCGGCGCCCCGGTGGTGTCCTCTGTGGCTGAGGCGCGGCCGCACCAAATGATTCTCCACCAGGGCGCGGGGCCGCGCGGTGTCCCGCCGGTGTCCCGGTGGTGTCCCGTCGGTGTCCCGCCGGTGTCCCGATGATGATGTTGTTGATGATGATGATGGTGATGATGATGATGGTGATGATGATGATGATGATGTTGATGATGGCGATGATGATGATGATGATGTTGATGTTGATGATGATGAGGACGTGAGATCGATTGTGATCGGAGGTTGGGGGGTGAGATCGAAGTGGAACGGAGAGCCCTCCTACCGGGAAATCGATTTCGGTTTTGTGTTCGTGCGTGCCGCGCGCGCGGGCGAGGCCCCGTGCACCCACCAGTGCAGGCTAGGCTTTGCCGGCCGCTCTCTCCGAGCGCGCCCCGTTCCTTCGGGCGGCCGCGCGGGCTCGCCGCCGCGGCTGGAAGCGAATCGAAAAACTGGGGCGTCTGGGCCCGAGGAGTTCGGCCGTCTACATAAAAAGGGATACGGCGACAGGACGCCGGCGCGGGCCCCTGGGAAGGGTTCCGGTTCCGTTTTGAGGTTGGCGCCGAGGTTCGGTCGAGGTTTCCTGGCCCTCGGAGGCCCTGCTCGCCGCCGCGGCTGGAAGCGAATCGAAAAACTGGTGCGTCTCGGCCCCTGGAGTTGGGCCGTCGACATAGAAAGGGATACGCCGACAGGATGCCGGCGCGGGCCCCTGGAGTCGTCGTTCGCCGTCGCTGTTGGAGTCGGCGTCGGTACGTCCCTGCAGGTTCCCTTGGGAACTCCTGAATCGTTCCCGGGGCCTTGTTGTATCATCATGCCGTGCTGTGTGCTGTGCCGGCGTTGACGCCGTCAGACCGCAGCCCATCGCGGTTCTGCGTTCGGAGAGTTCCCGCGGACCTTTGGCCGGTCCCGCGGCCATGGCCGCCGCCGCCCGCATGCTCAGACATGCGCTGCCTGTGTCCCAGGCCAGGCTTTGCCAGCCCCAGGGACAGAGGCGCCCTACGCGGGCTCGCGCAGACTCGCGCAACGATACGTGTACAAGGGCACTTCCTTTTCGGGCATGGTGGAACTCCATCCTCAGCGCCTGCTGACTCGGGAGGAGTTCAAGACGAACTTGCTGGCAGCACCAGGCGTGCTGAAGGTCTCTGTGCTTCCAAAGATGTTTGTGGCCACTCGGCGTTTGGGTTGGCCATTTGGGATTTCGGGGGTCTTCGGGGGCCTCCTTGGGAGGAGCCATCTTGAGCCATCTCCGGTTATCTTGAACCATAGTGGAGGCCATGTGGGGTTCCCCGGGAATGCTTACGAGGGTGACCCTCAGGTCGTGGACAAGAGCTCCAAGACCTCGCGGGGCAACCGAGGCAACCGCGTCTGCGAGCAGAACCTGGAAGTCCACCTGCATCGCGAGCCCCATGTAGCTCTGGAGTTCGAGATCACGCGGAACAACCACATGAAGCACATGGAGGGGCGCCCTTACACTGAGACAGCGATGTTCAAGGACCCCCCCAAACGGCATCACGCGGCGGCGTGGCGCATGCTCTTGCACGCCGTCAAGGGCCGGGAGCTCCTTCCACAGCATGCCCGCGAAGAGCTGCCTGACGAGACACGGCACCTGGGAAGACGACGTGCTCCCAGAGGGTCTGGAGGGGATCCCGCTTGAGCCAGGCTTTGCCAGTCCTGCGGGGTCTTCCAGCTCTCCGACGCAGGCGCCAGGCCTTCCAACAGCGCCAGGCCTTGCCAGCTCTCCGACGCAGGCACCGAGTCGCAAGCCAACGTTCCCGTACCCTTTCCAGAACGCCCCCGCGATGCCCGGGGGCCAGGCGACCGCCTCTGCGGCGCGGGTGGAACCCTGCCCCACCGAGTCGGCCTCAATGAGTCAGGGTGGCCGCGGGGTCCCGCTTGAGCCAGGCTTCGCCAGTTCAGCGGGGGTGGAAGCTTCAATAAATCAAGGCGGCGCGACCGGGCCTCCTGCCAAGAAGAGAAAAGCGGCGCAGGTGAGCGGAGGGGCGCGTCAGGCCTCCTGCCCGGAAGGCCTCAACTACTGCGAGGCTGGGGCCACGGAGCTGAGAGCGTTCGAGCGGGACGGGAACTTTGCATCGTTGGTCAAGCCCCAGGACCTTCTGCTCAAGGGGATCGAGCGCATCTCGGACGTCTTGCCTGAGCGGCGCGATTTGGACGGCACCGAGTGCGAGACTCTAGGTGCGGAGTTCAACCGCTTCGTGGAGATCGCGGAGGATGCGCGCGCGCGCATGCGGACCGAGTTGGAGGCGGCAAGGAGGCCAGCGGGCGGGGAGCAAGCGGTGACAGGCGAAGCCCAGGGGTCGGGGCCAGGCTTTGCCAGCCCGGCGACCCAGGGGCAGAAGAACGAGGACAGGGCGGGCGCGGAGAAGACGCCGCCACGGTTCGACCCCGAAGCCGATTGGACAAAGGATACGGCGGACGTGCACCAGTTCGACATCACGGCTGACCTGCGCGAGGAGCTGGCCGAGTAGCCCGATGGGGACCCGGCCGCCGCCCGTGAGTCCAGGGAGGTCCGCGCTGCACTCGGCGCCGAAGTTCTTCCCATTCGGGATTTTTTTGAAGCTTGTGCAGGGTCAGCCGATGGCCAGCAACGCCGCCCTGGACGATGTTCGTGCTATGAAGAGTCGCAGCGCGGAGCACGCGCGGTACCGAGTCATCGATGAGCCCGACGATCCCGAGGTGCAAGACAACATCGACAGGATGCGCCGCGAGGCCTGGGAAAAGCACGAGGAGCGTCGGAGGACATGTGCCCGTGGCCTGGACACGCGGGACATGTTCTTGGGCCGCGAACTGGTGTACGTCAAGCTGGTCAGTGCCGGCGCGGTGCCCATAACACCGACCGAGTTTTTGAATGCGGCGTCTAAGAGGTCTCTCTGCGTCAAGGATCTGTCGCGGCCACCTCCAAACATGCAGGCACGGGAAGGCCGCTTGCGCATGCTCGCGCTGCGGGAGCATTACCAGACGTTGTTCAAGAAGCTCCCGGATAAGGCAGCGCAGAAGTTTTCGCCGAACCAGCTGGGGGACGACGACGGACCATCGAAAGCGCTGGTGGGTTTGGTCAATCACCACTCTGGCGAGGTGGTGGAGCTGGACGGGTGCAGAACGCAGTGGTGCCTTCGCAAGGTCGCACCAGGCATTGCCAGTGCCGCGCAATTCGAGAATCCACAATTCTGGCGCGTGCAAGGCGGTTACACCGTGGGACGACGCCCGGAGGGGCGGTGCGAGTACGGCCGGTGCGGGCCCGAGCTCTTCGCCAGAGCCGTCGACGCACAGGCCCAGCGCGAAGCCGCCGCCGTGAACGAGGGCGAGGACATCAACCCACAGGTCTACATGCCCGCCTGGGCCCGCCAGTGGAGCAGGGTATGCGTTCCGTGCGAGGCGGTCGAGACGCGCGAGTGGTGTCGGCAGAGCCCCGTCACGACGCTGGGGGAGCTCCTCTGGGACTTGGGCCGGACGCACACGGCCAAGGCCATCTACGCCTTCTACAGGACGCTCCGGCTGGTCGCGTTGAAGAGGGACAAGAACAGTTCCACCAAGGCGAGCAGTGCGCCAGGCTTTGCCAGCGCATCTCGGCCAGCCGGGTCGGCAGCTGCTTTCGGTTTCACAGGGTCCGACCTCCAGGCGCCCCGCATCCGCGCAGATTACTCGTGCCCGGCGACCAACCGCAAGGTGCTCGTGAAGGACTGCATAGAGGCGGTGGGCTTGTTCACAGCGTGCGTCAGTTTTAAGACCAAGCAAGGGTTGCTGGACGAGGCTGCGAAGTGCGCGACGTCGGTGTTGCTTCGGAACATGCGCCCGCCGTGGCTGGATCACGTGTTCCCCCAGGCCTTGCCAGGGGATGGCTTGTTGTCCAAGTTCACCAGACCGTCTTTCCTCTACTGGGACGCCAGCTTCCTCGACATGCTTTTCGGCACCGCTCTGGGAAGCGATCTCAACGACCAAGCGGTCAGCGTCGACTACCAGCTGGCGGGTGTCATCGCGCGCCCCCTGTATAAGTGCACGCAGATCGTCGACGCCGGCGCCGGAGCAGCGTGCACGAACGTCGCGTCGATGTCAAGGCTTTTGCGGGACACCGCGGGTCGGGGCCACTACGTGCAAGGAGTGCGCTGAAAGGAAACAGGGCGCCGATGAGACGCCGGGCTTTCCCAGTGTTGCCCTTCGCGCCCTGTACTTGTACCCCGCGGTGTTCGGGCCGGATGGCGAGCCCACGCCGCTTCGCGCGATGACGCCCCATCGCGTGTTCGCGCACGCGCCTCCGGAGAATTGGGGGTGGGGCGTCGAGCGAGTCCAGCGCCACGTGGTAACCCAGGCGAACCCCACGATATCCACGGCCACGCCGACATGGCACACTTACAACGCGGAGGAGAGCGAGGCCATGTGGATCGCATCCAGTGCGTGCAAGGCCACGCCGCCGAGCAAGACGTGAATGGAAGGGGGGCACTGCCTGCGCCAGGCTTTGCCAGCGCTTGCAGGCTCCTGCATCATGAAGAATATAATATTTGATTTCGCGTAGGCTGCGCCAGGCTTTGCCGGCGCTTGCCAGGCTGTGCGTAGGCTGCGCGTAGGCTTCGCCAGCGACCCCTGGAGTTGGTCTGTCTACATAAAAAGGGATACGCCGACAGGACGCCGGCGCGGGACTCCGGGAGTGGCCCTGGTTCCGTTTTGAAGTTGGCGCCGGGGTTAGGCGGAGGTTTCCTGGACCTCGGAGGCCCTGCTCGCCGCCGCGGCTGGAAGCGGATCGAAAAACTGGTGCGTCTGGGCCCGTGGAGTTGGGCCGTCTACATAAAAAAATACGCCGAGTGGACGCCGGCGCGGGCTCCTGGGAGGGGTCCCGGTCCCGTTTTAAGGTTGGCGCCGAGGTTCGGTCGAGGTTTCCTGGCCCTCGGAGGCCCTGCTCGCCGCCGCGGCTGGAAGCGAATCGAAAAACTGGTGCGTCTCGCCCCCTGGAGGTGGGCCGTCTACATTAAAAAGGGATACGCCGACTGGACGCCGGCGCGGGCCCCTGGGAGAGGTCTCGGTCCCGTTTTGAGGTTGGCGCCGAGGTTAGGTCGAGGTTCCCTGGCCCTCGGAGGACCTGCTCGCCGCCGCGGCTGGAAGCGAATCGAAAAATTGGTGCGTCTGAGCTGGTGATCTGGACCCCTGGAGTCGATCTGTGTACATACAAAGGGATACGCCGACAGGACGCCGGCGCGGGCCCCTGGGAGAGGCCTCGGGTCCGTTTTGAGGTTGGCGCCGAGGTTAGGTAGAGGTTTCCTGGCCCTCGGAGGCCCTGCTCGCCGCCGCGGCTGGAAGCGAATCGAAAAACTGGTGCGTCTGGACCCCTGGAGTTGGTCTGTCTACATAAAAAGGGATACGCCGACAGGACGCCGGCGCGGGACCCTGGGAGGGGCCCCGGTCCCGTTTTGAGGTCGGCTCCGATTTTAGGCGATGGTTTTCTGGCCCTCGGAGGCCCTGCTCGCCGCCGCGGCTGGAAGCGAATCGAAAAACTGATGCGTCTGGGCCTCTGGAGTTGGGCCGTCTACATAAAAAGAGATACGCCGACAGGACGCCGGCGCGGGCCCCTGGGAGAGGTCCCGGTTCCGTTTTGAGGTTGGCGCCGAGGTTAGGTCGAGGTTTCCTGGCCCTCGGAGGCCCTGCTCGCCGCCGCGGCCGGAAGCGAATCGAAAAACTGGTGCGTCTGGGCCCCTGGAGTTGGTCCGTCTACATAAAAAGGGATACGCCGACAGGAAGCCGCCGCCGTCGCTGTCGCAGCAGCTCTCATCAATTGCATTTGCACCATGTGCAACCCGACAAAGGGAGGGAGAGGAGCCTCAGCAGGCCTCCGAGAAAAAATCTCCACTGGCATCGTCAGGAGAACAATCACCACTGTTGCCGATTGCTCGGCCCCTCCACCCCCCCAACCTCCTTATCACCCGCAGGGTGGTCGTATAGGCATATATATATATATATATGTAGATATGTTGGTGTGTATGTATGTATGTGTGTACGTATGTATGTGACCTATGAGTACGTGACTACATACACATTTACATCCATATATATATACATATAGAGAGAGGCCTGTATGCATGTGTGTAATTAAAGTGTGTGTGTGTGTGATGTGCACACACACACACACATATATATATATATATATACATTTGTGTGATCCGCCACCGTGCCTCGAGGCACGTAGCGGAGTGCCCCAAGGCCCATGCATCCTTGAAGACTAGAAGGCTTGTAAGGTTCTTGAGGGCCCGGGCCCCGAGTTTCCTAGGCGCTCTTGAGCGCTTTTGGGGTGTTCCCCGTGGGCCTCCGGGGCGGTCCCCTCGCTCAGGAGGGCCCCCAAACGGGTCAAGAAAGCCTCGAGAGGCCGTCCAGACGGTCCAAGAGGGTCCCGAATCACCCCCATGATCACTCCCGGACGTCAAAGATGACCTCAAGACGGCCAAAGAGGCCGCCAAGAAGCTCCAAGAGGGCCCCAGGAGCACCCCCACAAGGACCCTAAGAGGCCCAAACCATTGACTTTCCAAGGTGTCTGAAAGATGTTAGCCTTCTCGCCTTTTTCAGATTCCAGCGCTCCAAGGCGGCCCAAGAACCCAAGAAGCCCCCAATGGCGCCCCAGGACCACCCAGGAGGCGCCCAGGCCCACAGGAGGGCCCCAAGACGCCCCAAGAGGGCTGCAAGATGGCCCAAGAGGCCCCCAAGACGGCCCAAGAGGCACCCAAGAGGGCCCCAAAGGGGCCCAAGAGAGGGAACACGAATGGACATTTCGAGCCTTCCGCCCCAAGATGGCCAAGCGCCCAAGAGTCCCCCGTTCCAAGATACCGTCATTTGCATCCATGAGGCCTCTGAACCACAGCCAAGGCACGGTGGCTGAATGGGCCGAAGGACTTCATGCAAGATTGCCAAACAAAAACATCCGCCACCGTGCCTCTGGCACGAAGTGAAGTGCCCCGAGGCTCACAGCTGTGCTGCTGCAGCCAGGATTGTGCTCACAGCTGTACTGCTGCTGCAGCTCGCACTACGACTTCTTCAAGGCCCAGACCACCAGTTTCCCGTGCGCTCTTCGCGCTCCCAGGGGGATTCGCACGACCGCTGGGACGGCTGCAGCGCCCCAAACGACCCGCAGACTTGCGCGGAGCTCCCCAGCGAGCGCCCAAGATGGTCAAGGAGCGCCTCCAGACGCCCCACGACGGCCCCCAGACGACCCAAGAGGCCTCCAAGACGCCCCAAAAGGGCTCCAAGAGTTTTTCCATAGGTTTCTCTTGAGGTTTTTGGGGTGCTCGCGTTCTCGGCTTCCCGACGCTCCAATACGACCCAAGAGGTCCCCAACATCGCCCCAAGACGGCCCAAGAGGCCCCAAAGACGGCCCCAAGACAGCCCAAGAGGGCCCCAAGACGCTCCAAAAGGCTTCCAAGACGGCCCAAGAGGCCCCCAAAACGGTCCCACAGGGTCCCCAAACGGACATTTCGAGCCCGCGGCCCCAAGAAGCCCCTAGGAGGACCCAAGAGGCCCCCAAGAGGTTCTCAATAGGGCAAGAAGGCCCCCAAGAGGCCTCCAAAAGGCCTCCCGAAACAAACGTCCCAACGAACGACCTAGAGGCCTATGACCCACAACCGAGGCATGGTGGCGGGATGAACCGAAGGCCACTCGATCCGCCGCCCCCTCTTGATTCATCGAAGGGGTGCCTGGCGTGCTGAACCCTTCCGGTTTTGGTTTTGGTTCTCTTCCAAAAGAACTCCCCCTAGGGCTCCGGCGCGTCCCGCCGGCCACCCGGAAGACCCGGTTGCAAACGGTTTTCCTGCCCCAGACGGCCCCAGTATGGCTTCCAAGACGGCCAAGATGGCCCGGGATGGCCTCCAAGATGCCTCCAAGACAACCAAGATGGCCTCAAAGACGGCTACGATGGCTCCAAGATGCACCCACGACGGCCCAAGATGGCCTCAAGATGGTCTACGACGGCCCAAAAGGCCAGCAAGAGGCCTCCAAGACGGCCCAAGAGGCCTCCAAGAGGTCCTCCAGGAAGGCCCGACGAGGCCAAAATCATTGATCTTCCTTTGGTTGTTGAAGGATTGTGGCATTTGCGCCTTTCTGCTTTCCGACGGCCCAAGACGGCCCAAGAGGCTCCCAAGATCGCCCCAAGAGGCCCCCAAGAGGGCCCCAAGACGGCCCAAGTGGCCTCCAAGACGGGTCCAAGAGAGCCCCAAGACGGCCCAAGATGCCTCTCCAACACGCCCAGGATGGCCTCCAAGACGCCCAAGATGGCCTCCAAGACGGCCCCGAAGCGCCCCAAGAGGGCCCCGAGTCGGCCCAGAAAGGCCCCCGAGACGGCTCCCGACGGCGTCCTACGTGCCAGGAACCCACCAAGATGGCCGAAGTTGGCTCGAAGCTGGCCCAAGACGGCCCAAGAGGCCCCAAAGAGGGCCTCCAGGAAGGCCCGAAAAGGCCAAAATCATTGATGTTCCTTTGGTTGTTGAAGGATTGTGGCATTTGTTTATTTTATGCCTTCCGACTGCCCGAGACGGCCCAAGAGCCCCCAAAGATCGCCGAAAGATCGCCCAAGAGGCCTCCAAGATGGCCCCAGAACGGCCCAAGAGGGCCCCAAGACGGCCCCAAGAGGCCCCCAAGACGGCACAGGAGGCCTTTCAGACGCCCAAGATAGTCTCCAAGACGGCCCTGGAGCATTCCAAGAGGGCCCCAAGTCGGTCCATAGAGGCCCCCCAAACGGCTTCCGACGGCGTCAGACGGACCAGGAGCCCACCAAGACGGCCGAACATGGCCCTAAGATGGCCCAAGACGGCCCAAGAGGCCTCCAAGAGGGCCTCCAGGACGGCCCGAAAAGGCCCAAATCATTGATTGTCCAATGATTTGTTTGAAGGAGTGTGGCATTAGTGTTTTTTTTCTGCCTTCCGACGGCCCGAGACGGCCCAAATGCCTCCAAAGATTGCCCAAGAGGCCCAAGACACGGCCCCAAGAGGCCCCCAAGACGGGCCAAGAGGTCTCCAAGACGCTCAAGGTGGCCTCCAAGACGGCCAAGATGGCACCAAGATGCCTCCAAGACGGCCCAAGATGCACCCAAGACGTCCTCCAAGAAGGCCCGAAAGGGTCAAAATGGCCTCCAGACGGCCACGATGACCTTCAAGATGCCCACGTGTTCCCCGAAGGCTTCTGGAGAGGTCCTCCAGGAGGGCCCGAAGAAGCTCAAATCATTGATTTGCCTTGGGTTTTTAAAACGTTTTTCGTATTTGCTCCTTTTTCGGCTTTCCGACGACCCAAGACGGCCCAAGAGGCCCCCATGATCGCCCCCAGAGCGCCCAAGAGGACTCCAAGATGGCCTCGGGACTGCCAAAGGCCCCCAAGACGGCCCCAAGAGGAAAAAAAGACGACTGAGAGGCATCCAAGACGCCCAAGATGGCCTCTAAGACGGACCTGGAGCACCCCAAGAGGGCCCCAAGTCGGCCCAGAGAGGCTCCCAAAACGGCTTCCGACGGCGTCAGACGGGCCAGGAGCCCACCAAGATGGCCGAAGTTGGCTCGAAGCTGGCCCAAGACGGTCCAAGAGGCCTCCAAGAGGGCCTCCAGGAAGGCCAGAAAAAAACCCAAATCATCAATTCGCCTGCGGTTTTTGAAGGATTTTGACATTTGCTTCTTTGCCGCCTCCCGACGGCCCGAGACGACCCAAGAGCCCCCAAAGATCGCCCAAAGGTCGCCCAAGAGGCCTCCAAGATGGCCCCAGAACGGCCTAAGACGACCCAGAAGGCCTTTGAGACGCCCAAGATGGCCTCCAAGACTGCCCTGGAGCATTCCAAGAAGGCCCCAAGTCGGCCCAGAGAGGCCCCCCAAACGGCTTCCGACGGCGTCAGACGGGCCAGGAGCCCACCAAGATGGCCGAAGTTGGCTCGAAGCTGGCCCAAGACGGCCCAAGAGGCCGCCGGGCCTCCAGGAAGGCCCGAAAAGGCCCAAATCATTGATTTTCCCATGCGTTTTTGAAGGAGTGTGGCATTTGTATTTTTTTCTTCCTTCCGACGGCCCGAGACGGCCAAAGTGCCCCCAAAGATCGCCCAAGAGGCCCAAGACACGGCCCCAAGAGGCCCCCAAGACGGTCCAAGAGGCAAGACGCTCAAGATGGACTCCAAGACGGCCCAAGAGCCCTCCAAGACGTCCTCCAAGAAGGCCCGGAAGGGTCAAAATGGCCTCCAGACGGCCAAGATGACCCTCAAGATGCCCACGTGTTCCCCGAAGGCTTTCCAAACCGATTCGGGGAACACATGGTCCGATAGCTTGGCAGGTCTGGCCTCAACGTTCGGCCACATAGGCGCTTCCAAAAAGGCAGGGGGCGGCGGTAATTCGCCGCAGGCGCCTGCGATTATGTGTATATATATATATATATATATATATATATACACACACATGGAGGGAGGAGAGGATGTATAACGAGACGCGCGGTATACATTGAGGTAGACAGATGGTGGCGAGGAGGAACCGCAAATAAATGGGAGGATGCCGAGAACATGGAAGACACAGACAGGACGCGGAGGAGGGCCTCCGCGAGCGGCATCTCCGCCCAGGGGGCCGGAGTGCATGCCGCGAGCTTGGACATGGTGCGGGCGAGCTCCTCGCTCTCGGGCCCCATCGTCTTGGCGACCTTGGCGACGGTGGCGTTCCACCACTTGTTGGAGTGAACGTCCTGGAAGCAGGACAAAAAACCATAAACATGGACTTCTGGCGCTCTGCGTGGATTTCTTGGGTCTGCGCTGGACCCCCCTCCCTGGCGCGCGGAGCGCGCCAGGGGCGGCGTCGGAGGCGCCGCCCAGGGGGTCCCAGCGCAGATCCCAGAAATCCGCACAGAACGCCAAACAATTATGTTTATGCCGCTTTTTCTTCCTCGACGTCCTGCACGAGCGTGTGCCTCAGCCGCACGATCCTCACGGCCGGCAGGGGCGTCACCGCCGCGCTGTACTCGGAGTGCTTGCCGTACAGGTCGGCCATCACGCCCTGCCTAGGGGAACAAATCATGACATAGACACATCAACTCGGAGGTCCGCGCGGATTTCTCGGATCGGCGCTGGACCCCCCTCGATGGCGCGCGGAGCGCGCCAGTGGCGGCGCCAGAGGCGCCGCCGTGGGGCCCCAGCTGGAATCCGCGCGGACCTCCGAGTTTTGGTGATTATGCCATCGTTTGCTCCCCTGCTGCCACGGCCCCGCGCTGAGCTGCGCCGCGCCGCCCTGCCGCAGGGCCACCGCCGCGGCCAGGCGGTGGAGCCAGGCGGGCACCTTCCCGTCGGCCTGGGGCTTCTGGGCCAGCCGCCACAGCTCGCGGTCGAGCCTGTCGGCGGAGAGCGAGGGTGGGAGAAGCGAGCGGGAGAAGGCCTTCCTGGAAGGGGGCGGCGGGGCTTCTCAGAAAGCCCTCGCGCCTTCTGACAATTTTTTGCGCCTTCGGGGAAGGCATGGAAGACTTCTCAGAAGGCCCAGGGACTTCCGAACCTTCTGCGAAGGCCCTCTCCTTCTCACTTCCCCCTGTGTTTAAGTAAGTCGGGCCTGTCCTCCTACAGGAGGATTTTTGATGAAAAATAACAAGTAGTCAAAACATACACCCAAATCACCAAAAAATGCTCACGAAATCGTCCCCAGACTATTTTTCGACTATTCTTGAATATTCCTTCTGTAGAGGGACAGGCCCGCCTTCCCCCTGTGGCTCGCCGCCGGGCCTGGGCGTGTACGGCTGCAGCCACGCCGGCCTCCGCTCGTCGGAGCCGGGCAGGTGGCGCGAGCTGAGGTAGTGCCACTTGGCGGTCTCCTCGGCAGTTTCAGGGATGGGGGCCCTGAAGGATGGGGGCCCTGAAGGATGGGGGCCCAAGATGGCTTCCAATACTGCCAAGATGGCCTCCGAGATGCCTCCTAGACGGCCAAGATGGCTCAAGATGGCCTCCAAGACGCCTCCAAGACGGTCAATATTGCCTCAAGAGAGCCCACGATGGCCCAAGATCGACGCAAGAAGGCCCAACATTGCCTCAAGATGGCCCTGAAGGATGGGGGCCCGAAGGATAGGAAGGGGTCCAAGGGCGGATTTGCGTTGTCCGAAGCACCTCGTCCTCAGGACCCCCACCCCTCAGAACCCCATTCGGCGGTGGACGAACCTCCCTTTAGCAAACCACCCTCTAATGAAAACGGCCTGGGGCCGAAACCGACGGACCGGGACCCGCAATCATGACGGCCGCGACGCCCTCTCGCGAACCGATAACGGCCAATTCGCTGATCGACGTGTCAGGGTAGGAGCTGAGAGGGGCGATAAGCATGTCAAGGAAATCGACGACGGGGCCCCTGGGAGCCCCCGCGGGAGGGGGGCACTGACATCGAAGAGGGGGGGGGGCAGACGGGGGCGCTGACGTCGCGGGGGGGTCCACTGACATCGAAATGCTGCCAGGATGATCGCAAATATCAAGCTTTCAGAACCCACCGGCGGCGAAAAAAAACAAAGCCCATTTTGCTAAACGCGCCTCCTGTTCTCAACTCTCCGGGGGGTTCTCTCGCCGCAAATTCCGCTCTGTAAATCGCCCCCCCCCTCTCTGGGAAATCGCCGCAGCCCCCGTCGCTGAGGAGGGGGGGGGGAGGAGGGGAAGGGCGAGCGAGGAGGGGGCATTTCCGCAAGTTCAGACCCAGAATCCATGTCCCATGCGCGCATCATGCGCAAGATCTGGGCGGTCGAAAATGGGGGGTGGAAAAGGGCGGCGACTACAAATGCTGATGCAGCTGGTTTTTCAACCGCGGCCCAAGGGATGGGAGGTGCCAGAATAAGAAAGGAAGCTGCGTGCGTCAGCATCAGATGTCTCGGGTCGGGCGGAGGGGGGGGGGTAGCAAAGGGGGGGGGGTGAGAATCAGCTCGCGTAGCTGATTTTCCCGGCGCCTCCCGGCGCCGCAGGCGGCTATGTCTCGAGGAATGGGCCCCTCGGTGAAGGCGAGACCAGCTGCATGCAGCAAATTTCGTAACCCCCCCTTTCCCAATCCCCCCCTTTCGCCCGGCCCGAATGTCGCGCGCCTCCCTTTGCTATCCCCCCCCCGGACGCTAATTCGAGCGAAGCTCATTCTGGCGTGCAAGGTCGGCGTTCCTTCCGCTGTCCTCCTCGCCCTCGTCCTCCCGGCCTCCCCCACCCTCCCCCAATTCTCCCCCGTCGTCTCCACCCTCCTCCAGTCCGTCCTCTCCCTCTGGGGCCCTGCTCGGCCCGGCTGCGGGCTGCCGCGTTTGCCCTCACTGCGCGATGGTACCCCTCTTTTTCACCTCGTTCAGATACTGCCCCAGCTGGCCCCAATAGTAGGGCGAAGAGAAGTATGCACATGCACCGATCGCTGGCCAGGACTATCCTGTGAGCGGATCGGTGCATAGGCTTTCCTGGCAAGGGCAGGAGGTCCGTGATGCAACCGATCCTGGGCTAGGATGGGCCTGGCCGGGTCAGAAATCGGTGCATGTGCATACTTCTCTTTCCTCGAAATAGCTCCTCACGCGGAAGATCGCGAGAATCGAGATGGCCATGCGCCGATGCGCTGCCGGCGCGGGCTGGAACTTGGGGCCGGGCTCGGCGATGATGGCCCAGGAGCTGCGACGAAGCACCACGCGGTCAACTCGCGCTCGGTTTTTCACTTCCTCTCGGGGCCAACCGCGAATCTTCAAAGGGCACGGCCCCCCCCCCCCCAGTCACATGTATCATATATCATATATTATATCCCGATTGCACCGCCCCCTGCACAGACCTTGCAAAGACCCTGCAAAGAACCTCTGCAAAGACCCTGCAAAGACCCCCCCTGCAATGCAAGCCTCGACGAGGTCCCCAAGAAGCCCCGACAACCCAAACCCGAAGAAGCCACCGGGCAACCCCCACAAGAAACTCGAGGCTTGCAAACTGCCTCCAACTGGCCTGGCACACGAACGAACAAGAGGCCTATAACCCATAAGCCTATAACCCGCAACTCGGGGACGGTGGCGGGACTTGCCGCGAGCAAATGGGGGCCAAAAAATCATCGCATGGCGACCGTCCTTCAAGTAATTCCCCAGCTGGCCCCAATAGCCGCCTAGGCGAGCCAACGCGACAAGCGACCTCACGAGGCGCTCCCATGCCATTCCGGGCAGCGCAAGCCCGCGCGCGCCTCTGCGCCCGGACAATTGCACAACTGAATGAGCTCCGGAAGACGGAAGGAGGGGCAGGGCGGAGGAACGGGCGGAGGAGGAGGAGGGCGAGAGAAGGAGAGAGGAGGAGGAGACGCACGAGTCAGTCAACTCGGGCGGCTGACTGATTGGATTGACTGATTGATTTACTGACTGACTGACTGCTCCTCCTCCTCCTCCTCCTCTTCCTCGCACCTCCTCCTCCTCCTCCTCAGTCCTCAGTCCTGGGTCCTCACTCCTCGCTCCTCCTCCCTCCTCCTCCTCCTCCTCCTCCTCCTCCTCCTCCTCCGCCCCATACCTCCTCCCCCCCCCCCCCCCCCCTCCCCCCCCCCTCCCGATCCTGTGGGGGGGGGAGGAGGGAAAGCGATCCTGGGCTCGGAAATCGGATCACGCGCGTCGCCCTGACAAGGCAAGGAAGGGCGCGCCAGGCAGGATGCGCGAAGGGCGATGGGGATGGCCAGGGGCCTAGGACGCGCATTCCGAAGCGTTTTCCGAGCGGGCTCGGCCAGCGAAAGTGCGCTGGATGGCCGAGGAGGCGAGGGTCGCAGGGTAACCCGGGTGCCCTCAGATAGAATCGGACGACTGGGGGAGCTCCCCGCGGCCTCCGCCTGAGCCCCCCGCCTCCCCCCCGCCTTCCGCCCCCCCTTCCTCCTCCTCGTCATCATCGTCATGAGAAAAACAACAGTTCGTCCTCCTCCTCCTCCTCCTCCACCCCCCCCCCCCCCTACCCCCCCCCCCATCCTCCTCCTCCTCCTCCTCCGCCCCTTCCACCCTGAACGCCCCCCCCCCGTTCGGCCCGAGCCCAAGCCGCTCGAGCCGCGGCCGCCGCGGCCCAGGCCTGACGGCGCCCGCGCTGGAGGCAGGGCCCCCATCGGGCCGGCGGGCGAGGAGGCTGACGAGGGCTCCTCGCTCCTCCTCCTCCTCCTCTCGCCGCCAACGTCGTCGCCCCCCCCTCCTCCGCTGATGGAGGTTTGGAGGTTGAATGGAATTGAGGAGGATTGATATATGTTATTCCCCACCTAGGCTCTGCCTAGAAGCTAGAAGGGTTCTTACTCACCCTCTGGGCTTAATGGGCCGGGCCGTGGAAAGCGCCCCGGGCGGTCCCCCCAGTATCCGCCCCGCGGTTCCCCCAGCTACGTCCCCTGAGCTTAGCGTTGCGTATCTCATCTTAGCTTAGCTTATTTCATCTTAGCTTAGTTTAGTTTCATCTTCGCCCAGGTCTATCGTAGCTTAGCTTACCTTCATATTAGCTCCGTTGAGCTTTAGCATAGCAGAGCACATCATAGTATAGCATTGCAGCATAGCGTAGCATAACATAGCGCAACATATCATATCATAGTTGCGGTGGGCCTTGTCGTGGGCCTCAGTGTCCTCGTCCGTGGGCCGAGGGACCCCGTGCCGCGCCCAAAGCTCGCAGTGCTCACACTCTCGAACAAAGAAACGGCTAACACTGGCGCGTTTGGGGTCTCATTTTGACCAGATCCCAACGCACTGTGTCTGGGCCCCCATCGCCACGCCTGGATTCCCTCTTCGCGACTGGATTCCGATCGCCGCGGCTGGATTTCCCGTCAGCGGCCGCGGTGCCCCCCTCGCCACGGCTGGACTTCGCAACGTCAGCGACCGGAGTGCCCAGCGGCCGGACTTCACGACGTCAGCGACGCCAGGCCCCGACCGCCCCTCGCCCCCAACGTGGCATAGCGTAGCAGAGCGTCGGGAAGCTGAGCATAGCATTCCATCGCATAGTCGCGGGGCCGAGCATAGCATAGCATTCGGTCGCACCAGGATGTAGCTGTGTCGGAGGACGGGACATGCGTAGAGTAAGCCATTTGAATCGAGAAAAAAGTTTTTCTCTCGGGAACGGCCAAGAGGGGGGTGTCCAAGAGGGGGGGTGCAAATCATGACCGGCGGCATGTGCGCGGCCCAGCGGGGGGGCCAGGGACGTAATGAAAAAAGAAAAGGCGGCATAACATCTGGGGAAATATATATCATGGCCCCCGCCATGATTTCCACTCCCCCCAGTCATCGCCCCCCTCTTTTCCGCCCCCGATTCTTTCTCAGTGGCCGTGAAGCCAAGAACGCTTACCGGTCTCGGGCGTCCCGAGGCGAAACGAGCGCGGCCGTGGCCCACAACAAATTGTCGTTGGCGTAGGCGCTGGCGTCGGCGCTGAAGGTGTAGGCGATGGCGTGTGCGCTGGCGTAGGCGCAGTCGGTGCCGTCGTAGGCTGGTGTAGGCGCTGGCGTAGGCTCTGCAAGTGCCGTCGTCAGCGCAGGTGCTGGCGCGCCTACTGCCTACTGCCGAATGTCTTCTGCCGCTGCCCACGAGCTGCCCAAGCTGTCACCCTCGGTCGTCTCCACCTTCAAGCTCGGTTTCAGGGCCACCGTGAAGGTCGGGCTGTTCTTGCCCTCGCCATTGACCTTGATGTGGTCCGTAGTCGGGATGGGCGTGGGCTTCGGGACGTGCTCAAAGTTGTGCTTGTAGACGCGCATGCTCGCAATCTTGCGGTCCGACTTGACCACCTTCCGCCTGTCCAGGATGCCCGCTTTCAGCTCCTTGCACGTCACCGTCGACGTCGCAAGGGAGCTGACCAACTCGACCCTATACCACCCCTTGAACTTCTCGTCGAGAATGTAGATGCTCAGGTAGACGCCGTCGCCGAAGTCGCCGTTGCCCGCTCCGCCGCGCATGTCGCACGCGCCGGGGCCATCGCCCGCAGGCAGCTCGAACGAGTCCACCTGCACGTAGACGCCCACCTTCGCCGCGTTCTGGTCGATGGCGTGCCAGTCCTCGTGCGCCTCTCCATCGCGGCGAACCTGGCCGTTCACGTGCAATGCGCGGTAGAGCGAGATCTTCTTGCCGCAATAGAAGCTGAACTTCTCCTCCAGCTCGCCCTTCAGCATCTGCGCGGCGGGGAAGAGCGGCCACTCCTTTAGAGGGAAGAGAACTATGCACATGCACCGATTCTGGCCAGGCCCATCCTGAGCCCAGGATCGGTGCATACGCCCTCCTACCTTGGCCAGGACGGCATATGCACCGATCCTGGGTCAAGGATGGGCCTTGCCAGGATCAGCGCATGTGCGTAGTTCTCTTCGCCCGATCCTTGGCGCCCACAGGCGGCTCGACCGAGAACCACTGCCCCCCCTCCACGTCCTTCAGGTAGCACTCGCCGTTCGCGATGTTGAACCCGAACGTGTGCTCGGTCGCCCTCATCACGTGTTCTGCCATCGCCGATGCGCGCGGTGCTGCTGGTTCACAGCGGTGCGGCTGGTTGCGCTGGTGATGCGCGCGGTCGCGCGCGAACCTGCAGCGCTGCTGGTCGCGCGAAAAGCTTGGGCCAGAACAGATGCAGGAGGACGGTGGGCGGGGACTTCACTGAGCTCTGCATTATCGGAGAACGCAGTCGCAGCACGGGACTGGACCCCATCGCCGCGGCTGGAGTCCTCAACGGCTGGATTCTCATCGTCACGGCTGGATTATCCTCGCCGCGGCTGGATCCCTCCACGGCTGGAATCTCCTCGCCACGGCTGGATTCCGCCGCGTAGCATAGCTAGCGCTGCGTAGCATAGCCTTGCATAGCGCAGCACAGCACAGCGCAGCATGCATAGCCTATAGAATAGCATAGCACAGCACAGCATAGCAGCATAGCAGCAAAGCAAAGGCAACGGCAAAACAACAGCAGCGACAGCAAAACAAAGCAGCAAAGCACAAGCAACGCAAAGCAAATCAAAGCAACAGCAAAAGCAAAAGCAAAGGAAAGACAAAGCAAAAGCAATGCGCGACAGATGCCGAGCTAGCCTCGATGGCCAGCCCGGAGCCCCCGCAAGCAGTGCGCAATGCGCCCCCTGGGTTCGCCCAGCTTAGCTTAGCTTAGCTTAGCTAAGCTTAACTTTCCTTAACTTAACTCATCTTAGCTCAGTTTAGCTCAGCTTAGCCAAGCCTAGCTCAGCGTAGCTTAGCGTAACCTAGCTTAGTTTAGCTAAGCTGAGCGCAGCATAGCGCAGCGCAGCATTATCACAGCATAGCGTAATATAGCATAGCACAGCACAGCATATATCAAAGCATAGCATAGCGCAGCATAGCATAGTATATCATATCATAGAACAACATAGCATAGCATAGCGCAGCCTAACATAGCACAGCCTAGCATAGATGCTTGTAGGTGTAGGTGTAGATGTGGATGTGGGTGTCGATGTAGGTGTAGCTGTAGGTGTAGACGCAGAGGCAGATGTGAGTCTCGCATGCAGGTGTAGATGTAAATGTAGCTGTTGGTGTAGATGTAGATGTTGCTTTCCTAAATGCTCCAACTCCTGGGCAGGGTCGCACTGGGGCAATGACGGAGGAGGGATCGTCGAATAATAAAAAGGAAGGAGGAGGAGGAGGCGGAGGAGGAGAAGGAGGAGAAGGAGGAGGGGGAGGGGCATGAAAAAAGGAGAAGGGAGAGGGTGAGGAGGAGGAACCACGGAGGTCCCGACAGAGGACCACCCCGAAGAGGATGAGGAGGTGAGGGGGGAGGCCTGAGGGAGGACATCATCCACTCGAACATTCGGGCTTCTCCTCGACTCCTCCCCCCTCGTGGAGGGGGGCCCCAGGCAGGGGCGGCCGATCTTATTCGCTCTCCAGACTCTCTTCGCTCGTCGTCTGTCCTGCGCCGTGGCCATGGCACCAGCCCACATGTGCACGCACGTGCAGAGCAGACAGCAGTCGCGGAACCTCCTCGGTCCTCCTATCTATTACTAAACTGAACTACGGTGATATACATTATCAGCTAAAGCTGACCACTGACAGGCAGGTGAGAAAAGTGGCAAAAAAAAAAAAACCGATCCGAATCGCGCGAGCTGCTGCGCTGCCACAGCCCAGCCTCGAGCCAGGGCGAGGGTGACGGCGAGGTCTAGGCCGCCCCCTAGCTTCCATGGGTTCCAAATTGTGCCAGGGCCACGGCCCAAGCACTAGGCCTAGGGCGGCCCGCGCGCCCAGTGACCGAGGGCCGCCCCTTCCGGCGGGCAGCGGTGCGAGGGCGCGAAAACAGCCGCGGAGCGGCAAGTGCTGCCGCAGCAGAGGCAACAGAGGTCGTCGTTCGTCGTCGTCGTCGTCGTCGTCGTCGTCGTCATCGTCGTCGCAGTCGTCGCGGTCGTCGCAGTCGTTGACGAACGAACAACACACACACCCAACCCATAGGGAGGTCGTAGGGAGGAAGACTGGTTATGGGCACGGGTGCGGGTTGTCGGACCCTGGGGAACGCCCCCGTTCGAGCGGGGTCCCTCATCCGACAACGCGCGCCCATAGCCCTCTCCGTTCCACCTATGGGCATGGGTGTGTGTGTGTGTGTTGTTGGTTCGTCAATCGTCGTCGTTGTCGTCGTCGTGGTCGTCGTCGTGGTCGTCCTAGGCTCAGGCTAAGCTAAGGAGTCCTAGGCCGGCGCCGCGGCGGCGGCTGCCTGCTGCTTGCCACCGCCCTTGCGCCGCTTCGGCTCGGGGCCACCCGCCGGCCTCTCAGCCGACTTTGCGAGGCAGTCCTGGGCCAGGACCGCGTTGATGCTGGCCGTCGCGCACGAGTGGGGGGCCATGTGCTTCGCCGGCAGGACGGACTGAAGGCTTCGCAGCGTCTTGGCCATGGACTCGGTATCCTGCGAGCCGAGCAGCGACTGCATGCACGTCATCGATCCCGAGAGCATGCCGGCACCCACGAACGTCGGGTCGGAGTCCCACGCCATTCCAGCCTCGAGGGCGTCGTTGGCCATCTGGAACAGCGGCGCGCACTTGTCGACGAACCAGCGGAAGTCGCGGCACATCGTCTTCGCAGTGGGCACCTGGATCGCCGCTGCCAGCGCCGCACGGTGCCCGCCAGTTGGCAGCGAGCTCCCCTGAGAGCTGAGGGACTCCAGGTAATCGACCAGCGAGATGTTGAACCCCTGCGCCACGATCTTATCGGAGAGGGCTTTGAAGTGCAACTTCACGGTCTTGAAAAGGTCCTGCATGCGCCCCAGCAGCATCGCCTTCGAGCTGTCAGCCGCCGCGTTGCAGGCGTAGTCCAAGCTCTGCACCTGGGATGTGGCAACAAACAAAATCCTCCCCCCTCCTTTTCCTCGTTTCTCTTCTCCTCCCCCCTCCTTCCTCCTCCCCCCCCTCCTCCTCCTCCTCCTCCTCCTCCTCCTCCTCCCCCTCACCCCCGTCCTCCTGCGATCTGTGGCTCTGGGGCAGGCCAGCCTCCTCCTCCTCCTCCTCCTCCTCGTCGTCGTCCTCCTCCTCCTCCTCCTTCTCCTCCTCCTCCTCCTCCTCGTCCTCCTCCTCCTCGTCCTCCTCCCCCTCCTCCTCCTTCCTCCTCTCATCTCCTCCTCCTCTTCCTTCTCCCCCTCCTCCTCCCCCTCCCCCCCCCTCCTCCTCCCCCTCCCCCCCCCCTCCTGGGCCAGTGGCGCGGCTTCGGCAGCCCCTGATTTTCTCAATCCGGGTGGTCTTCCCCGATGTCGGTTTCTTGGGCCCCTTGCGCCCTGAGCCCGGCCCACGCCCCTGGAATGCCCGGAACTCCAGCCCCCTTGGACCCCAAGAGGCCTGGCCACAACCAATTGCGCCATTGGTCACCGTCTTCGTCCACTCGTCCACAAACTGGGAGAGAACTGACAACTGGCCGGACTGCAAGTCGGACGTCAAGGTGATTGCCCGCGACGCGATGGCAACGAAAGAGTCCCTGCTCTCAACCAGCCCCTCGGGGGTCGCCGATGCACCGACGATCTTGCATGCGCCGGCGGACGCGTCAGGGATCGCCTCAACGGCAATGCGGGCGACGCGCAAGACTTTCGCGAAGGCAAGCACGTGCACAGACATCATCATGGCATCCGCCGCGTAGCCGGGGCCCACCTGTCCACCAACGCGGCTGCCATTGCCAATCGCAGCATTGACGCGGTCGAGCTCCTCCTCCACCGCGCCGCCGCGGTCGTCGTCGGCGTCGCCGAGCCCGAACAACTGAGCGCTGAACTCCTCAACCTCCTCCGCCGCTGCCGCCCCCTCATCCTCTCGGGACTCGGGTCGGGCAGCGGGGGCGGCCATGCATCAAGGAATGGGCCCCTCGGCGAGGCCGAAACCAGTTGCATGCAGCAAATGTCGCAACCCCCTTTCCCAATCCCCCCCTTTCGCCCGCCGGTCCTGGGACCTGCCTTCGACGACCGGGGAAACGTAAGACTCGGGCACGGGGGGCTCGGGTTGGCCTGGCGGGGGCACGAGGCCCAATCTGAAATTTGACGCGGGCTCCCGGGCCCCCGTTGCAAACACCCCGCGGGAACTGGACCGTCAAAATCCAGGGCGCAATCGTCGAACAAAAATCGGCAAACCCGACTTCCAGCTTACTCGAGTCTCACGCTTCCCCGAGATGAGAGTGAGATCCTCGCTTCGCTCCTCGGCCTTCTCGGGGGTGCCCCGGCTGCCGCGGTCGCCGCCGCCGCGCCCTCGGACTGGGCAGGGGGGGGGGGGGTGCCGTCGTCCTCATCCTCCTCCTCATCCTCCTCCTCTTACTCCTCCGCCTCCTCTCACCCCTCATCGTCCTCATCGTCCTCCTCCTCGTCCTGCTGCAGCCATGCTGCGTGGGGCGGGGCGGGGAACTGTGCGCCCATGGGACTGGGGGGGCAGGCGCATGCCGAGCTGTGCGGATAGCCTGCCCCCCTCGAATGGCTGTAAGAAAGGAGAGGTTCGGCTGGCTAAAAGGGGGGGCCAGTCAGAACCGTACCCTCCCCTCAACCCCCGAACCCGGGTCCCCCAGTCAATGTCCCCAATGGCGCGGCCACGGCCTGGCCACTGCCGTCGGCTCTCAATATGGCGCGGCCTCATCGCCCCACCGCGAGTATCTCAGTCGCGGCGGGGGCTTGAGGCGCGCATGTTATCAGGGCGACGATGGATCAGGAGAGAGAAGAAAGATGCCAGAAGGGAACAAGAATGTGCACCGAGTGGGCATTACTACAGTATTACTCGAGTCTCACGCTTCCCCGAGATGAGAATGAGATCCTCGGAAGAGGAGGGGCGAGGAGGAGGAGATGCGGGACGGGGAGGAGGAGGGGGAGGAGATCCTCGCTTCGCTCCTCGGCCCCCTCGGGGGTGCTCGCCCCGGATGCCGCGGTCGCCGCCGCCGCGGCGCCCGCTGCCTCTCGGGCCGGGAAAGGGGGGGGATAGCAAAGGGGGGGTGAAAATCAGCTCACGTAGCTGATTTTCCCGGCGCCTCTCGGCGCCAGGAGGCGCCCGTGCATCGCTGCATCGAGGAATGGGCCCGGCGGCGGGGCCGAAACCGGCTGCGCGCAGCAGATTTCGCACCCCCCCCCCCTTTCCATATCATCCCATTTTCGTTCAGCACGAGCCTCCACCGCCGCACTGCCTGCGCCCCTGCTGAGCGCCTCGGCTGATGCAGCCGCGCTGCCTGCGCCGCTGCTGAGCGCCTCGGCTGATGCAGCCCGCGTGGACGCCGCGGCCACGGCGGCCGTTGCCTCCGCCTCCTCCTCCACTGTGGCGCCTGCGCCGCTGCTAAGCGCCTCGGAGGCGCGCGCCGCCGGCGCGGTCGCCGCGGACGCGGCGCCCGTTGCCTCCCCCGCCGCGGCGGCCTCTGCCTCCGCTGCAGCTGCGTCGCAACCGCTGGCTGCTCTGACCGCATCGGCGCCCGGGCACGCTGTCGTTGCCCCTGCCGCGACTCTGACCCCCAAAGCCGCCACCAAGCGGCTCTTCCCTCCAGGAACGGGCGCCGAGTTCGCAAGCTTCAGAACTGTCTGAGCCCTCGGCTTCTTCGGCGGCGGCGGCGCGGCCTCCGGCTGAGGCGCCGTCTGCGGCAGCGGCGGCGGAGCGCCGCCCGGCGCCGTCGTCTCCGCGGCCACCGGGGCCTCCGCGGCAGCCTCCACGCTGGCAAGAGAGAGGTTGCCCGCCGCAACCGGGGCCCCCAGCGTCGCTGGGACTGCGGCCGCATCCGCTGGGGATGTCGGGGCTGGCTCCACCGCGTCGCCGCGGCCTGCGCTGGCGCTGGCCTCTGCCTGGGCCGCCGGCGCCCCCTGGTGCATCAGCTCGCCGCGGCCCCCGCTGGCGCTGGATCCCCCGGACAGGGACACGTTGAGGATCCCGATCTCGTCGGCGCCTGGATGCGGCAGCGTGCATGGCGGGGTCGCGGTGCCACTGCCAGGGGCGGCATCATTGCCGCGCTCTCCGTGGGAGGTAGCATGGCCCATGCTGGGCTCGGGTGCGCGACTCTGTTCAGAAATCCACCACGATGCCGTCTGGAAGTATGGCCTGTAATACAACACGCTGTTGACACCATCAACCATGTTCTCAAGACCCTCGTCCACGTAGACAGCCAGCGAGGTGTTCCGGAGCACCGCGAGCTCATTGCGACACGACTCGGCATCCATGGAGCGCGCGAGCCGCGCACAGCGACTCTCAGACGGGAGCATCTCCAGGAAGCGGAGGCAACGAACTTGCAGGACCTGTAGCAGCGACGCGAGCCCTGCCTTCCAACTGGGCACTTCCAGCGACAGGGCCCCCTCCTCACTCTTGAACGGGGGTTCGCTGGTCGTGAGCGTCGCATCGAAGAAGGCCCTCACCTCCGTGCACTCCACGAAACAGTGAGAGTCCTTGATCATTGCGCGGATGCCCGAGATGAGCGATGGCACCACGGAGTGCAGCTCCTTCCGAAAGCTAGGTCTCCATCAGTACAATGGAGTCCGCGCCCATGAAGGTCTTGAAAGCATGCTCGAAAGGTTCTTTCACCACCGTCTCCAGACGCTGCGCCACTTGCAAGGCGTCATCGAGGCTCCTCCGCGTGCACAGGAACATTATCATGTCGAGCATGTTGGAGTAGCGCTTGTGGGATTTCTCGATGACGAGCGCCGTGGCCTCCGAGAGCGCACCTCTGACAAAGTTAATATCATCCTTGTGCATGATGAGCAGGCGCCGGGGCGCCTTGGACATCAGGGCCTCGAACTTGCCTTTCACAGCGCCCATCTTGTCCAGGGCGTCCTGCCTGAAATTGCAGACGTGGTCGGACGTGTCGGCCCGGCAGCTGCGCTGCGGCTCCGGGGGGCGGCTCCAAGTGACGAGCGCGACGGTATCCTTCAAATCTACCACGAGAGACTTGGCCGAATTGATGTTCTTCCTCTCGTCGTCGACCATCTGGTCGAGATCCATCCCGGCGGGCAGGAACCGGAGAGCCTGGCAGCGGAAAGGGGGGGGGGCGCGGAACCAGAACAAAAACGCAATGTCCCGGGTTCAAGGCCGATTTCGGAGGGCGGCGAGGTTCCCGGCCCCCTGAGGCCCCCTGCGTTCCTCGTCGATCCTCTCATCGGTCGGTCTCAACATTGGACCATCGGTCTATGATATTACCGACTTCTCGCGGGGGTTGCCGCGCGGCCAATCCGCGCAAACGCAGCTCAGCACGCGGCCCGGGGCCCCTGACTCAAATCCTCCGACGCCGAGGACGGACCGACGACATTAGCGAGGGGCCAGGGGCAGGTGGGGCCTTCAGAAACGGCGAAGCCGCGCCAGAGTTGGTGTCCAACATGTGCGTCTTCATCACGATCAAGTCCTCCAGCTCGGCCTCGTCGACCTCCGCTATGAAGGCGAGCTTGAACAGCTTCTCGAGCTCAGTCTTGAACTCTGCCTCGTGAGAGCCCTGCAGAAGCTGGCCGCTTTCCATGGCAGTGCGCAGGAGGCCGAGGAGGCCGAGGAGCACGGGCAACTTCTGCTGAGCAGTGAACAGCTCGATCAGCGTCTGCATGATGGCGGTCTCAACCTCTGGATTATGGCGAAAAACAAAAGTATTGCCCCTTCCTGCCCCCTCCTCCTTATCCTGGAATCCTCCTCCTCCTCGTCCTCCTCCTCATCATCGTTCTCCTCCTCCTGCTCCTGCTGCTCCTCCTCCTCCTCCTCCTCCTTCTCCTCCTCCTCTTCTTTCTCCCCCCCCTCCCTCACCCCCTCCCCCTCCCCCCCTCCTCCTCCTCCTTCCTCCTGCCTCCTCTCACCCCTCCTCCTCCTCCTCTTCCCTCCTCCTCCTTCCTCCACCTGGATCCCCCCCCCTCCGGGCTCC